GGGAACCAGGTATGAAATAAATCACCAATTTCATAGTCCATTCTTCTAAGTATTGTCTTGTATCCTGTGCAGAGCCTCTTGTGTGCCTTGAGGGTCTCATTGCGGTCTTTCTCGCTCCCCCCAATAAATCTGATCTTACCACAGTGAGCAATGCTAACAGTGTCACCTTTTGTAGGTTGTTTTGTTACTTTGCGCGGCAGAAGATTTGTAACATTTAAAGTCATGTGAATGACCTTTTTAACTTTAACTTGTTCGATCTCGCGTACTTTACCAGTGCCAGACTGAAGGTCTAAATTTTCTTTTGATATAACCCTCAGTGGACTGTTGTATTGTATTATGTAGAGGCCATTAGAGCTGAAGGAATAGATATTGCTGATTTGAGAAGTTGTAGATATTGAAGCACCTCTTTCGATAAGAATAAAATCATCTTTGTTTGGGGGAGCATTATAAACATAAGGTCCTTCGTATTTCACAATATGATCACGATGATATATACTGATGAATGGAGAAAGGAGTCCTTCAAACGGAGTGCCATGCTTGAGGACATAATAGTCTTCATTTGCTACATTGGAGAACTGAAAGGAACAGACTACTAGGGACAGAATCTTCTGACATGCCATGTCAACCGAAATGGGGCTCTCTGTTTTGTTCACACTAAAAGATATAGATATATTAATGCTTATTGATACTATTAATAACATATGAACATACCTCAGAGAAGAAGTGAAGTAAAAAGCAAGGCATACTATTAAAGTAATAAGAATATACTTCATGATGCTTTTTAGAAAAAGATTCAAAGTGACATGTACCTTCCAAGTAATGAACAATGAGCTGCTTTGTCTGTATATAGATATTAGAGTATGGTATACTCTTAACAGCTTTGCTTGGCTTCCAGGAATAGGCCCAATCATAGGCCCAATCAATCACTTTGGCCAAATTACTATACAAAAATTTACTACAACTAGCCTCAAGCCTTATAACACAAAAATTAAGTATAGAAACTAGCTGAAATAGGATTGATGGTTACTTTAGACATTGACAAATGTGCATAAATAATCTCAATTATCAAAAATTAAAAATTATTATATTACCTGTGCAAAAATTGAATTATAAATAGGAAACTAACCCAGTCTGTCCCAGTAATGAAGATTCTTGATCATAGCCTGCTCATTTCAAATGCTCAGTTTCCAGTATAACGACATGTTTCTAGGAGTACAATTGATGTTTAGAAGACATGCTTTTGCACGTGTGTTCCCGCCAAAAGTAGTTATGAAATAAACCAGTTATTATTAAAATCAATTAAATAACTCTTGGACACGTCCGTATACGCGTGTCGGGTGTGTTCAGTTCACTGTCCAGTGTCCACGTGAGGTTGGCATTTTGATCGGAAGGCAGTAGAGATCTTGCTCACTTTTCTCCTCTAGTTCTTCTGGAGCTTTCTCTAGTCGTTTGTGTGATCCTCTTTTATTGTAAAGAAACAGTCCTAGCTCTGTTATAATGTCAGAAGATTGGGACGATGAGCCACCTAGCCTTGGCGTCATGCCAGTGAGTACCAAAGACATACATTGTATCCTCTACTTTTTAACGTGTAAACACTTCGTTTTTGTTCCTCTTTTATCTTCCCCCAGGTTTTACCATAGACTCTATTAGTCATTCCCAATGTAACCTTCTTTTTTGCTTTTTAGAGTTTAATACATGTGTTTGCTAATACATGTACATGTTTTTGGCACCTGGCGGGAGACGTGTTGTCAGTAGTGGGTTTGGTATTGTCACAATGCTAACATGTGTCTCCTGCTGCGTGCTTACAGCCTGTTGCCTTATTTACTAGCAGCTGGGGGTAGGGAAGGGTGACCTTTGTAAACTGCCAAGCTATTGTGTGTTAACTGTGCAGTGTGTGTCATCATTTGGTACCTTAAGCGTCTTTAAATGAAGCTCTCCCTCTCTCTCTCTCTCTCTCTTCTCCCTAGTCTTTCTCTACTGGTTTCAGTAGTAATGGTGGAGCTGATGCTGGTGGAGGTGGTTGGGGTGGCAACAACAGTTCCGAAGAAGTAACACAAAAGTTTGAGTCGATGACATTCTCTGCTAAAGGAGGTAGAGGTGGATTTGGTGGTAGAAGTGGTAAGGAACCAATTCTATCATTGCTTTCTCTCTTTATTATAATTTAAAAGTTTTCGATTATCCTGTTTGTCATGTCTCTTCTTTTTTAGCTTTTTTCCTTTATTTCCTTAAATGTACATGTACATTATCATTATGCATTATGAATGATTATTACTGTTAATGTTCTTTTTTGTTCAATTAGGTGGGGATGAGGGAGGTAGAAGAGGAGGAGGTTTCGGTGGTAGGAGAGGCGGAAGAAGAGAAGGAGGAGGAGGATTTGGTAAGAAACAGCTCCTCTTGTTTTTAAATACATCACCACCTTCACTTTTAAATAAGAATGTTTTTTAAATATATCTCTTTTCTCTCACTCTCACTCTATCTCTCTCTCTCTCTCTTATCATATTATTTGCAGGCTCCTCTGATGGTGAAGGAGGTGGCTGGAAGAATGGTGGCAGCAGTGGTGGTGGTGGTAAGAATAATGTCATACATTTAATAATCATTTTATTTTATTTGTCATTATTTTGTATTCTGACTCCTTTTCATTGAGTTATTATTATCATTAGGTTTTGGTGGTGGCTTTAAGAAATTTGGTGATAGAGATGGAGGTAATTAAGCCTGTATATAATTATACATTACTTCTTTAACTTTCACTTTTAACTTTCTTTTTTTTCTTCAGATGAAGGCGGTGAGAGTAGAGGCTTTGGCAGCCGTGGATTTGGTGGAGGTAGTAATGGCTTTGGAAGAGACAGGGATGGTGGTATGTCTTATACACTAAAATCACTCACATCTAATATAATGTATAATGCTTGCAGTGTAAATGATTATAGACAGATATCTTGTTGCTATTGTACTTCTTGTTCTAGTGTTTTAGTATTGTCTGCTAATCCTATTATAGTGATTGTGTGACAGCTTGAGCTTGTTCTGTTTGTGTTAGAAGAATTCACTCTCTCCCTCTCTCTTCCTCTCTCTTTCTCCCTCTCTCTCTCTACATATAGTTTAACTTGTGTATGTGATTCTATATCTACTAAAATTAAAAGTTGGATATTCCTGTCTCATATACATGTACTTGCTATGTTGTGTAGAAAGTCTGAGCTAAGTATACATATACATGGATCATATTGAGCATAAGCTGGTTAGTAGCTTCTTCTAGTGAACAGATACTGCCCTGACTTGATGTATAGACATCAATTGGAATGATAAAGAGAGTCACTAATGAGTGCCATGTGTCATATCTTTAAAGTGCTCTAATGTGTGACTGTCTGATGGGGCCAAGTGTTAAAGTGTCTCCTAGCTGAAGTTAAAGGATATACTATTACACTAATAGAATATTAATTTTATTATTAAATTTATTGCTAGCTGAGTGGATATTAATTATTAAGGCCTTTTCACACTTGTCCACTTTGGATCTAGAATTGATGCTGCGTTTACACTACAAAAGTGGGTCAAACTGTGCTGAACCAGGCTGAGCTGGCCCTACTGTACTAACCATGCTGGCCTGGTTTGGCCCAGCTCACTTCAGCTCAGTTTAGTTACTGTTTACACTATCAAATGAAACTGTGCTGGCCCACTTTAAACAGGGCTGGCTCAGTTAAAGAAGCTAGTGTAAACGCAGTATGAGATAAAATCCAGGATTAAAACAGGACTGGCTTGTTCACACTTGTCTTGAATCAGGATTGAATCTAGATCCAGTCAATCCACATCCAGAAGTGGTTTGAGGTGGTTTGAGGTGGATTGAAGTGGATTGATCTTGATTAAATATTCATAACCTGTAGAAGCCAATGCAGTTTAATTCACTTTTAATTCTTTCAAGTAGCTTATAGTGTGAACACAACCAAAGAGGATTCTATTTTAGCAGGTTGCAATTCTGGTTCCAAAGTGGACAAGTGTGAAAAGGCCTTTAAAATGTTGTCTGCTGTCATGGTGCTTCCTTAGCAGCTGAATATTGTAGCTTCTTTGTATTCCTCTTATCATTATGATTTACTATAATGACAGTTTTATCTATAGACTGTAGAAATCTATAGACTGTAGAATATGGCAGGGGGTTCATTTATGCTTGTCCATTCCTTACAATCCACTAGGCAGCTTTGTTGAAATAAACAGTAATTTTTTGTTGCCTGAAATAGAACAGTGTTCTATTTCAGGTAACAAAGTTGACACATTTCAAAGTAACCACAAAGTTGCCATAGTGGATGGTGAGCTTAATATTGCAGTCTGCTTAATTCCATATATTTTTTGATAATTATTTACTATTTTGTCCCCAAATTTAATCACACATATCGTTTGACAATTCACATCATATGCAGCTTGCTATATACATTAGTGTTACATTGAATTGTACACACATATATACACTGTACTACTTATTGCTATTGCATATGTATCTTATGCATAGTTCTATATATACTGCATGTTTGTATCAATTAGAGATATCATTGTATAGTTAATTGTGTGTGTCTTCTGTAGATGGTGACAGTGAAGGGAGTGCCTTTGGAAGGAGAGGAGGAAGAGGTGGAGGTTTTGGTGGTAGAGGAGGCAGACGAGGCGGCTTTGGTGGTCAGAGAGACAATGACAGTAGGTCTACCATAACTTGCATGGCCAGTACTTGTTACAGTGATTTTTCTTAAGCTCAACATCCACTATGGCAACTTTGTTGGAAGCAACTTTGTGATCACTTTGCAAAGTTGTCCATTGGGTGTTAGACTTTAAATTTGCATGATACCGTACGTATAGTGGGAAATTTTAGAGGGGATTAAATATGGCAAATTTGGCGTTTTGATAGCCATTCACCAAAATAAAAATCCACCATTTTGAGCCATTATATGCATGCTCAATGGCACGTGGCCACAAATTCACCAAATTAAAACCTCCTAATCACCAAAATTTAGCAATTTGACAAATTTTAGCCCCTCCAAAATTTCCTGCTATATGGTAAAGCAAGCAGGAATGTGCTATGAACATGCTCTAGCTGTTGTGGTCAGTATTAAGTAGGTGCATCCATTTAATTCCTGACCACAACAGAGCATGTGCATAACACATATCACTGCAACTCTTTGAGCTGCTTTTATTATTACAGACACTGGAAGAGTATAGATTAATTATAAATTGACTATATTCCCTAGTGTAATCTAATGGTATACATGTACATACTATTATGTAACCAATTTGGTGGCTGCTACATATTGTTTGGACATTAGTTGTTTTTTATCTAATAATGTACGGTGATGCTTCTGAATGGTAAACTTGTACTTACATTTACAGTGTTTGTAACTAGAGTGGTGGCTGCTGCATTGTATGTTCTGCTTAAGATATTGTCTTTTGTACTGTAATGTATGTAAACCATATTTTACTATTATTATTATTATTATTATTATTATTATTATTGTGCATACTGTACATATATATATATATATATACAGTGTATAAAGTGGCTTTTACATGGTAAGCTGTGTTTAGATATTAGCTGTTTTCTGTCTAATGTACTAGTGCTATACTGCATGTAAATGGTATTTTACTATATATTCGTATTATACATGGATACAGCTAGTGTATAACTAAATTGGTTGCTGCTACATGTTGTATATTAATTGTATGGTTATGTTTATAAATTCTTGCTGTGTTTATGTAATATTGTTGTGTGTGTGTGTGTGTGTAGATGGTGAAGATGGTGGTGAGAGCAGAGGTGGTGGATTCAGAAGTGGAGGAGGTTTTGGAGGCGGTGGATTTAGAGGTTAGTATACATGTGCTTGTATTTCATGAAGTTTTATAAGATATTTTTAGCAATATTTTATCTCAAATATGATTGTCATTATCGAATTATAAATATCGTTGAAACTATAAATTTGGATTTTGTAATGACTCAAAAGTTTCTGTCCTTCCATTTTTATAAAGATGTATATACACTTCTGTACAAATGTGAATTAGTATCTTGTATTTAAAGAGTGTCCTTCATTTAAGTACATGTTCTTTTCCTTGTGTTTGCAGGTGGGGAAGATGGTGAGAGTCGACGTGGCGGAGGTTTTGGCGGCGGATTTGGCAGGCGAGGAGGCAACGATGACGATCAAGATGGTGGTGGAGGTGGTGGTTTTGGCGGAAGGAGAGGAGGCGGATTCAGTGGTAGATCTGGAGGCGGCGGGGGGTTTAGAAGAGGCGACGATAATGAAGACGAGGGAGGGGACGGAGAAGAACGCAGAGGAGGCGGGTTTGGTAGGAGAGGAGGAGGAGGAGATAAAGAAGAATCAGGTAATGGGGGAATATTCATTTATTAGTGCATGGTTTTATCGTTTGCATTCTTTTACTTGTAAAAAATCCAATTTTGATTGAAATCAGCTCAAACTTTCTACACAACATAAGAACATGTATATGTACTGGAAAACATCATAAAAATTGAGAATTCTCACCTGGCCATTTTTGGTGAAATTTGGCCAAAGTCCCTGTACTATAGTACAAAGACTTTAACCCGATTTTGGAGCGACTTTCAAAATTCATAAAAAATTCAATTTCAATTGGAACCAGCTCAAACTTTCCACACAACATAAGAACATGTATATCTATCAGAAAAAATTATAATAATGGAAAATTCTCACCTAGCCATTTTTGGTGAAATTTGGCCAAAGTCCCTGTACTATAGTACAGGGACTTGGGCCCGATTTTGGAGCAACTTTAAAAATTCACAATAAATCCAATTTTAATCGGAAACTACTCAAACTTTCCACACAACATAAGAACATGTATATGTATCAGGAAAAATTATAATAATGGAAAAATCTCACCCAGCCATTTTTGGTAAAATTTGGCCAGTGACCCTGTACTTATAGTAAGGGACTTGGGCCCAATTTTGGAGCAACTTCCAAAAAATTAATTTTAGTTAGAATTAGCTCAAACTTTCTATGCAACATAAATACATGTATATGTACCAGAAAACATCTTAAAAATGGAGAATTCTCTCCTAGCCATGAATGAGATAGTAAACCTTACTTAGTGATGTCACTCTTTAATTAAGCCAGTACTTACAGTGATTATTTATTCTTTCTTCCTATCACCAGGTGATGCTCCTCGTCGCGAAGTCTACATCCCTCCTGCACCCGCTGACGACGAAGGCTCCATTTTTGAAACCATCAACGCCGGGATCAACTTTGATCGATACGATGATATTCCCGTCGACGTGAGTGGGCGTGATCCTCCCGGGAACATAACATCGTTTGACGAGTGCGGGTTCTTTCAGACAACGAGCGAGAACATTGCAAAGTGTAAATATACGAGACCCACTCCAGTACAGAAGTATTCCATTCCTATTATAATGAAGGGACGAGATCTAATGGCATGTGCTCAGACCGGTTCGGGAAAAACAGTAAGGAATAAGTTTATAAAAATGTAAACTTTGCAATAAAAGTTTATTATAAAAGAATCTAATTTTGATCGGAATCTGCTTAGACTTAAATTCAGAACATATGCCATATGTATTATAACATCTTACAAGAATGGAGCAATTTAAAGTTGAAGCTTTTTAGTTATCATTGTAATGGCTGTACTCCAGCTATTGCAAAGTCTAGTACAATGTATAGAATTATATTTTGTTGGTTTGTGTGTTATTGTCCAGTGGTCAGTGGTCACTCTAAGGCAGGTTTCCCTATTCCCTATTGCCTTGGCTTAAAAGAACAACAGGTTTACACTGGCAATGCTTGTTACCCACAGACTCCTTACAACAGCCTCAACTGTACAGGAATGTTAGTCTTTAGTGAAGCCTTTTTATTTGTCAGATGCTCTTTGCTTCATAATAATTATAGTTTATACATTTTGTGATGTATAACATTTCTTGTATAGTATACCGTATAGCGGGTTTTTTTTCGAGGATAATAAATTTCGCGAATGACCCATATCAGGAAGTTTGCGGAATTAATTTTCGCGAATTTTCACTAATCTGCCATTTTGTACCGTATTAAATTGATTTTCAAGGAATTTAATTTCGCGAATCATGAAAAAATCCGCGAAATTCGCGAAATTTGTTATCCTTGGAAAAAACCCGCTATATGGTACCTGATAAGTTGTGTTTCAAAATCATTCATAATACTTATTCCTTTATGCATGCTCTTTGCCATAGCTATACTGAAGCAATTGCAAGCTTTAGTTGAGTCTTTTAGTTGGTAGTACTGACTCTTAGCTTCACTTTATTATACATACATGAGAAACTGACTGTTGTATAAGAGTAAGTCTAGTCATTAATAGTACAGTGATTTTCCTTAAACTTGCATGATAGAGAAGCAGAAATGTGTTATGTACATGCTCTGTTGTGGTCAGGAATTAAATGGATGCACTTACTTAATACTGACCACAACAGCTAGAGCATGTTCATATAGCACATTCCTGCTTCTCTATCATGCAAGTTTAAGGAACATCACTCTATATGATGTTACATATAGAATTGATGTAGTAGGGAACATGTATTTGTATTACTTTTTATCCAATTTGTGTCAGACCTCATTTAATGATGTACAAGCCTTTGTCAGCTATTGTGTTCAAGTGTGGTTTTGTAATAAGTGTGGATACACAACCACAAGTTTGTGTATGGGAGGTCTGAAGGTGGGAGGGACAAGCCACTGCTTTTACAATCAACCAGGATTGTGTTCATACTGAGAAACCTTGCCTTGACTCTGTGTCTCTTGTGGGTAAGGTGTAACTAATTGTGGTTGCTTTCTTTAAACTTTTAAATACATATTTGGTGGGAAAGCAGTCTTTATAATGATTCTTCTATACTCTTGAATGTCCTTGGCATTTGCTACTCATCATATGTTACAGTGACTTTCCTTAAAGTTGCATGATAGAGAAGCAGAAGTGTGCTATGAACATGCTCTGTTGTGGTCAGTATTAAGTAGGTGCATCCATTTAATTCCTGACCACAACAGAGCATGTTCATAACACATTTCTGCTTGTCTATCATGCCAGTTTAAGGAAAATCACTGTACATATACATGTACATGTACATATAGACCCTCTAGGCGCTAAGATTATTTTCAATGAATATGATTACAATAATGATATTCATTCATAATGAATAAAATTTTCCTATACGGTATCTACCCACGATGTAAATTACTGACGGCAAGAAGGCCTCGAGATCAAAAGAAAATCAAAGGCGGTGACACCGCCTGGCCATTTTTCTGAGCGCTACAAGGTACTACAGGCTTACAAGCAGCATTTATGGAAAGTATAGAGGCCAGGCTACATCATATAGACCAGGTAACTCTTGCTGCAGCATAGTTTTCCTGCTATGCTTCATTTCGGCACCTTGGGCTTTGATCTGCCTTTGATGTGGAGAGCTTCTTGACGTCAGTAATTTTAATCGTGGGTGGCTACCGTAAATAATTCATACAAAATAGTCTTAGCGCCTAGGGGGTCTATACATGTACATGTATGCATTTCAATGTAGAAGTAGCTTGTATTTACATGTACATGTCTATACAAATTATTTACCTAAATGTATGCTTAGCTGCTTACTGTAGTTCTGCTAATGTTCATTAGCTGAATAATGTGTGTAGTACTAGTGGCAAACTGACTTGGTGTAAGTGTAGTTTTTTTATTGTTCTTTTTGGCAATTTTTACTACATTTCTTTAATTAATTCTCTCTCTCTCTCTCTCTCTCTCTCTCTCTCTCTCTCTCTCTCTCTCTCTAGGCTGCATTCCTTCTTCCTTCCATCACTCGTCTCATCAGTGAAAACATCCCAGGCGCCAGCCGAAATGATACCCAGTCGCCGGAAGTACTCATAATCTCTCCCACAAGGGAACTCACACTACAGATATACAATGAGGCTAGGAAGTTCACGCACAATTCTATTTATCGCCCGGTCGTGGTTTATGGCGGTACTAGCGTAGGCCATCAGCTGAGACAGGTTGAAGGAGGCTGCAATATGTTGGTCTGTACTCCTGGAAGACTTATTGACTTCTTACAGAGAAAGAAAGTGAGTTTTATAACTTGTATTGCTACATGTACTATTGCTTAAATCTATACTAATTAATCTATACTGAATTAATGCAGATTTTATACTGATATAATCACTGAATGGAAGTGATTATATATCCCACCTAATAGTTACAGTAACTCAATGTAATAGTATTCTGAAAAGTATCATGGCTGTACTTTCCTGCATGTGTTGCATGAGGTTCCACTATCTTTGCAACAGGAGTAATCTGCCTTACCTTCCTTATAAGGAGTAACAGCTACTTAGTTGTTATCCTCAATAATAAATCACCCACTTAACAGAATAAACCAACTAAAACTCTTTTGTTATAAGCTAAAAACTTAGAGCTACTTCTTGAGTGCCACAGCAAAAAGAGAGAAAAGCATTTGGTATACGTATCTTCACAATAGAAATAAAGACAATGTGGGCTCTACAGCTAGAAGTAGTGCAAATGGACTTTTATTGCATATGCACTCTTAGTAATTTTAGCAATGGGTATGCACACTCACACTGTAAGAGTATGTAGTTTGATGTGTTCACTTGCTTAATAATAACTTTGCCAAGTCATTCTCTGAGTACTGCTTGAAGTCTCAAAGTTTCTACAAGGAGTTGCTTGCATGTAGCTGTGTTGAATTCAATTTTGAACTGATTTTATTTTAATAGCAAAATTAACAATAAGAGTACATATACATGTATATCTTATTGATATTATTATGATTAGTTATTATTAGTTAGCATTATTTATGAAAGTTCTGCAGCTCTTTATTCTTCCTAATCTTGGCAGCATAGCATCATGCCAATACATTGGGGGTGTCTATTGCAATCGCAGCAAAACCCATAAGGCCCTCCTCCATTCATGGCTTCAAGAGCTGGCTCTCCAGACTTTGGCTCTGTTGCTTCAAAAAGTGGCTCCTTTGCTGTCTTCTGTGGCACATGAGCTGCTTCTATAGCAATAAAAGCAAAGGATATAACAACAATAAATATAATGCCAGCCTTCATCTTGTGACTCTTAGTAACTCTGGTACAAGTATATGTACTGTGACAAGTATACACTTAACTCTCTCTTACTCACTGTCTCTCCTTTTATATTCTGTGCTGCATAACCGGTTTTACTAGCTGCAAAAACCTGTTTTAACATGTGCACGTGATGTTTTATCGCCGATCTCATTATGGACTTGTTTTGCCAAATACAGTATCCACAGTGCCAGCCAGGTTCTTACTATTTGGAGTGTTAATGGAGTAATAGTACTTCAACTTGCATTATCTACATGCATATAGTAATCTACATGCATATAGTAACAATGGATCCATTATCAATTGTCTTGCTCTTACTTTTTTGTTTCCTTTTCTCTGTGTGTAGGTGTTACTTGATAATATCAAGATATTTATACTGGATGAAGCTGACCGTATGCTTGATATGGGGTTTGGTCCTGAGATAAGACGTGTTGTCCAGGACTTTGATATGCCGGAAAAAGGAAAGAGACAGACTCTTATGTTCTCTGCAACTTTCCCTGAGGAGATCCAGCAACTTGCTGGTAAGACAAAAGACTGATGATTGAATATTTGAGCTAAGGGAGTGCGTGCGTGTGTGTGTGTGTGTGTAAGAAATGGAAGTGGATATTACAAATGTACATTTACGTGTAAACTTTCCTCCATTAACTATCAATTTCTCTCTCTCTCTTTAGCTGATTTTCTTGAAGACTACTTGTTCCTTACAGTTGGTAGAGTGGGAGGGGCCACTAGTGACATACAACAAAAAGTCATCGAGATTGGGGAGTACGAGAGACGTGACAAACTCATTGAAATACTCTCGTCAGCAGGTACTACACTATACATGCCTGCATGTGCTGCTGCTGTGTGCCCAATTTTGGAGCAACTTTAAAAATTCAGTAAAAATCCAATCTTGATCGGAACGAGCTCAAACTTTCTACACAACATAAGTACATGTATATGCATCAGGAACAATTATAAAAATGGAGAATTCTCCACTTTTTATTTTTGACAAAATTTGGCCGAAGACCCTGTACTATAGCACAGGGACTTTGGCCTGATTTTGGAGCAACTTTAGAAATTCATAAAAAAATCCAATTTTGATCGGAATCAGCTCAAACTTTTTACACAACATAAGTACATGTATATGTATTAGAAAACGTAATAACAATTGAGAATTCTCACTTAGTCATTTTTGGTAAAATTTGGTCAAAGTCCCTAGTACAGGGATTTTTGTTTGATTTTCGAGTAATTTTAAAAATTTATAAAAAATTCAATTTTGATCGGAATCAGCCCAAACTTTGTACACAACATAAATACATGTATATGTATTAGAAAACGTAATAAAAATTGAGAATTCTCACTTAAATCATTTTTGGTAAAATTTGGTCAAAGTCCCTGTAATATAGTACAGGGACTTTTGCTTGATTTTGCAGCAATGTTAAAAATAAATAAAAATGCAATTTTAATTGGAATCAACACAAACTTTCTACACAGCATAAGTACATAATGTATATGTATTAGAAAACGTATTTAAAATGGAGAATTTTCACTTAGTGAAATACCCTGTGCATATTAGAGGGTTTTGGCTAACAGATAAAAGTTCATAGAATTGACTTGACCTCAAACTTGGTACACAACATTAAAAGATCAACTCCTTTGTTTTCTCTCCCTCCTTCCCCCTCCTCTCTCTCTCAAGGTCAAGAGCGTGTGCTGGTATTTGTAGAGACAAAGAGAAGTGCTGATTTCTTAGCTACTTCATTATCACAATCAGGATACCCAGCCACTAGTATTCATGGGTACGTATATACATGTACTTACATGTACTGCATATACTTATGCTTGCATGTACGTGCACATCTACGTAGTACTGTACATGCATCAATTGTGATTTGTGCATTGGCCACATCTACATCACATGTGTATTTAAATGTACTATTAAATGTTTCAATGTTTGTGCATGACTATGTATGTACATTGTATGTTAGTCATGTTACTTCTATGTTGATCTCCATGCATTCAATAGCTGCCAGTTATAATACGTAAGTGTTTGTGCATAATACATTGAAATAACAATTGGAGAATGTTCATTAATTTTATTTATTATTGTTATTATTATTTTAGTGATCGTTTCCAGAGGGAGCGGGAAGAGGCTCTCCGTGATTTCAGAAACGGTCGTGCTCCGGTCCTCATTGCCACGTCTGTCGCTGCCCGTGGGCTCGACATTCCTGAAGTGAAGCACGTCATCAACTACGACCTGCCACAACAGATTGATGAGTACGTTCACCGTATCGGGCGAACAGGACGTATTGGTAATAAAGGACTGGCTACCGCCTTTTTTCAGAAAGATAAAGACATGGCATTGGCTAGGAGTCTTGTTAAGATATTAACTGATGTAAGGAAGGAGGGAGGGAGGGAGTTATTGTGTTCAATTTTATATGTCTGAGAAGAGTTTGTAGTTTGTAGTTTGTACTTAGATGTATGTGTTATTATACTAATAATTCTCCTGTGATTTGAAATAAAAAGCTGTTTTCTAAGCTCTTGTGTATATGGTGGACAAAAATTTGTACATGTACAGTGTATTTCTTTATTTATTATTAATAATTGTCCTAAATACAGACTGTTAATTCTCCTGTGGTTTTAAAGTAGGAAATTCTTAAAGTTTTTAAAGTTCTTGTGTATATTTATTTGTTATTAATAATTCTCCTTCAGTTTAAAATACAATACTTATGACTAATAATATCATTCCTTAAAGTAATTACATGTACATATGCTGTAAAATACATACTTCTGTGTATTATTAATATAATCTTAAATGAGCTACACTTATGATTCATTTATCGCTATTTTCAGGCTGAACAGGATGTACCTGATTTCCTTGAGGAGTGTGCTGAAAGTGCTGCTGGAACTAACTTTGGACCAAGTGGAGGACAATTTGCCTCTCGTGACATCAGAGTAAGTCATAAATTAATTAAATACCTTTTTATTAACAAATATACCATATAGCCGGAAAAATTGGCGGTCTAAAACTTTGAACTAACTAAAAAACTAAAACTTAAAAAAACTAACGCCTTTGTATTAATGATGCCCACTTCATTACGAAACATGTACATGTAAATATTTGCAGGCCATGTTTTTATCTGTTGGTCATTTAAGCATCATTAGTTATAACATGTACATACATGTATGTGAGTTTTTGATTCCATCCATTATGTTTATGTGCTTCATATTGGCAGGTTTGCCAGTTGTGGTTTATTAATTTTTTTACCAGTAATCGCCAATTGCCAATAGTACTACTCTTTCTAGTTTCTAGTAAATGTTTTCTCTTCCATTGCTTTGTATTACTCTTTAGTCTGGTGGGCGTGGCTCCCAAAGAGGTGGTCGTAGTGGAGGCAGCTCCTGGGGAGGTGGCGGAGGATTCAGTGACAATTTTGGAGACGGGGGAGCGAGTTCCGGGGGCGGATTTACCTCTTCTTCCGGAATGGGAGGGGGCGGAGGAGGAGGAGGAGGAGGGGGAGAAGAAGATGAAGAATGGTAGCTTATACTGTCTCATATTACCTCCAGATCTCTATATTATACATGGACTAAGAATAATCAGACTTACTTGTACTATTATTATTATTATTATTATTATATTATAACTACTAGTGAATGCATTATATATTTCAAGGCTTGCCTCACCATGTGCATTTGTTGTTCTACTGTTGTTAATTTCTTCTAACTGTTTCACACAATCAAAGCATTTATGGACCTAATAATGTTGTATCATTGTTGTTTTTCGTTATTATTATTATTTTTGTTGTTGATTTAGTTTTGACTTAAAATGTATCAATCAATTTTCTATTTGATCCAATGTTATATCTAAATTTTGATTATGAAAAGTTTCAATTTGAGAGAACCAAAATATCAGCCTTGGCTAGTACTGTATAGGACTGTATATTTTGTGGATAATAAATTTTGCTAATTTTGTGGAGTGTTTTAAAGTTTGCTAAATTAACTTGCCACGACTTGTTCAATGAACAAAATCAATCATTTTGCAACATTTTTTATCTGTGAATGCTTAGTGGGAAAAATTGTGAAATCTTATGTCCACGAAATATAAGTGCTACAAGGCAGATCTACATTGTACTGGGTTTACAAATGCATTTTTTTCTTCTGGGACTAGTGTCAAGTTAGTGCCTATTAGCACAAATAGTCACCTGATGCTGCTAAAATTTTAACTGGTGCATTTTTCAATTCAGTTGTCAGGGAAAGTTTGTCACACTATGGCAGTGTTAAGGCCACCATACACCATGAAACATGTTTCTTTATAAAAGGTGGTTCATAAAACATCTAGTCAATGGTGCCTAAAAAAGGTTTTATAAAATTGAGATTTTTACATGTTTCGAGGTCCAGTAGCTTCTTTTTAAAAGATGCTTCATAAAACAATTTTAAAGGTGGCCTTCTTCATTTGAAATGAACATGGGAATACTTCTGGCTACAAGTTATTTGTTATTGTATCATCTTGAAATTGAAACTGAACCCATCCATACCTTGAATGAATCAGTAATAGGTACATCAATTTAGACAAATGTGCACATTATTATCATTAATAAACTCGCAGTTTATAAGCATTGAGAATGTTATTATTATTATTGTTTTCAAAAAGTAACCTCAAACTTTATCGCTCTCTACATTTTTTATATCGAGGATTTCGATCCCATTCTCATCATTGTCTCTTGCTGCGTGCATTTGTATTTTATAAACGTGATATTTCCGCCAGGAATGAATCACTAGTGCGATTGATATTGACGTGTAGTATACAAGAGCCAGGAACAGGATGACCAGTCTTGTTGAATGAAGAGCATCGTAATGACAATTTATGATATGATCATGATGATTGTGGCCCTCAAAGTTTAAAGAGGTTTGATTTCTTAGTCCCTCCAAGTGACACCCAAAGGAGCAGCCAAGAGGTTGTATGTTGTCAGTGAGAAGGAAAGTTCCGGAGACGATCCAGAGGAGTATGACGTTGAGACAGACGATAAAAAAATGAATCGAGGTCTTCTCTTTTCGTTGGTGGAAACTGATGACGCCGGGGACCAGAATGAGTATCAGAAGTGCTCCCCAAACTATCATCCCAATAACAAACATGGCCCAAGCCAGGTCTATGATGTATTGCGGGCAGTAGCTCTCTGATTCCAGTGGTAGGTCAGAGACTGTCGTGAACCATGCATCCAGCTCTAAGAGGTATCCTAATGACTGTGCCGTGGTCTTCCACGGTGACCACTTGTACTCAACAAACTTCTTGGAGTTTTGATTGGACTTGTCCATCGTGTGATCGCTTAGCACTTTTGCTTTATTGACAAAAGTTGGTATGAGTCTAAATAATAGTATGGACGTTATGAGGAACGTCGATGAAATATTTATCCCAAGGCTCATGCATGATTCGACACAGCCGTACCACTCCCCGTAATACTGGAATATCAAGGACATGTGGTTCCCTAATAGATACATTAATCCACTGACTGCTGTGAGCCCGTTAGCTAGGAGGTTAGTGAGGAACTCACTCTTGCTGTGCTTGCGTAGGAACCTTTCCTTGCGTCTGAAATCCCGAGCTATGATGAAGAATATTATGAGTATGTACAAGAAACTAAATCCAGAGAGAAGAGTGATGGCTATGACACCACTGAGCTCACTGTTGGCCTCAGTGAGGAAGAATATCTGGGTCAGGAGTGCTAAGATTATATTGAACTCTACAACAACAATCTTTGGTATGTACTCAGTAATGTGCTCATGATCCTAAAAAGAAGCTGATATTTATCAAACTATATCTTATTGACTTACAGCCATGAGCTTTCCTTGTCTTGTTGGTTGCTGCTGGTCACTGGAGTGCATAAGATACTGGTATAGTCGATCATCCAAGCGTTATATATACTTTTGGATTGTGTACACAAAGCTAGACAGCAACTGCCTCACTGCCAATAGCTGCTAATAACATGTATCAAATCAGGTGTAAACTGTAACTATAGTAGTAAACATGCATGAGTTACCAAAGGAGGATGTGAGTAATCATTTGTCATTCTGGGAAAGGAAGAAGAAGATGGAATGAAAGGATATCACATCAGGCAGATGCCAAGCTGCTTGCATTTATGTACAACAACACAATAACACTTTTTAAAAATATAAAAACAACTTTTTCAGCTAAAACAAAATAATTAGGCATAGTACTATTATTACAGCAGCTAAAGAGTATGACTCATAATATCTAGTATGTACGTATAAAGCTAGCAAGAGAGGTTCTTCACATCAGAGAACCCTAGCGTCCCAGTACCAATAGAATCCAATGTACAATCAATAGTGGTTGTTTTGCTATCACGAGTATCAAATGTTGACATTGATACTACTTCACCGGGAGCTCCTCTTAGCTTAACAACATAAGTTCCGGCAAAGAGAATAACAGTGAGTACCCTCTGCTCTGATATTGGTACAACTTTATCCAGCTCTCCCAGTAATGCCCCACCACCACCTGGTAACACAGGAGCTATGTACCAGTATTGAAAGTCTGTTACGTTACACGATGATATGGTTAACTTTGTGCTAGCGTCTGATATTTTTACAAAGTTAGATACTCCTTTGCCGGGGTCATGTTGTATCGCTATTGATTCTGGGAATGAGGTCTTAGGCTTGGTACCAATGCGACTGGGAGGTAGTTCAGCGAGTGACATTTGATAATCAGTTTTTATTTCTGCTCCTAGTACATAGTACCAAGTATAACCTGAGACCTAAACAAAAGGATAGAATGATTAATATTTATACTTTTATAAACACACACACACTCTCTCTCTTTCTTTCTTTCTTTCTCTCTCTCCCTCTCTCTCTCTCTCTTCCTCTTTCTCTCTCTCATACTTCAGTGTAAGTTGCTGTGAGGTATCCATCAGGCCCTCCCTTACCAAAGGCACGTTGAACGAATGTAGAGTCTAGAGACATTGCAGGCTTTGAGGGCTTCAGTATGAGCCCATCACTCATGCACGTAGTAAGAATGAGGTCTTTATCAGCATAGCCTGCAGCATCACCTGGTCCCACTGGCCCTGTGCTCAACACTGATACAAACGCATGCAATGAAGGACTAGGTTCTGGGCTGCTTGCTGCACAATCCTTCTCGCCGACTGGATTTGAGTGAAAGTTGTCTTTAAAAGGAGCAATCCCAAGCGAGTGAAGGAGTATGCTAGAGTCTCCAATCTTCCATTGGCTTTTACCAGGATGATAGTCACCACTGGCCCTAGTCTGTGTCACTACTGGTATCATCACTGCCTGCAGCACGTGCCTAGGCCAAGCCATGCAATACTGTATAGTGAGTCCTTCTTCTTTAGCTGCTTCTCCCATTTGTCCCAGCCATGTCTGACCCAGATTAAGATCAATTTGCAGCTCTTTGAGTTTTCCAGATTCTGTCAAGAGCCAATCTTGCTCATAGGTCCAAAGGTTCCATTGGTCTCTTGCTGATGAAAGGAGGAACTGCCAGAATGAGGGATCATCAGGTAGAGCAATCTGGCCAGAGTCAATGATAAAGTTAAAAGGGCCTCCATTTTGCTTGGCGTAGTCAGTATCGACTGAGAAGAACCTGTTGTGAGCGACAATGGGCCAACCGGTTTTCTGTGAGACATACTCAATACCGTGAGGGAAGACAGTAGTCATGGCTGTCCAGTTTTTGACTCCATCATGATCCCCTTTGTAGTACCACCATGAGTCAAGCTGCAGGTATCTGAAAGGTATGCCCTTGTCATCTGCTTCTTTTTTAATGGCCAGCATGGCATCTTCATAGTTATCAAACTTTCCAGTGGAATAATGATAGCAAGCGCCATTATCTGTGTAGTATCCAAGGTACTTAATAGAGTAATCGTTAAGTCTATACATCTCATCTTTCTTGTATCTTTTACGTAAGAGTCTTCCCCATTTATCCATAGTGTCAGTGAGGTTCTGACCAGCAACCATTAGAGTCTCCATTGCATATCCTTTAGGGACTGTATCAACTGATCCTAGTATACCAGTTGCAAATACAGGGACTTGGTATCCGTCTGGTTTCCATACCTCATGGTGTGAAGACATGAATGTATTCTGTGGTGATATTACCACTGTGTTCTCCATATCAGAATCAAACACTACAAGAGGTAGTCCGCCCTCCATTCCTTTATAAATCTCCTTCAGCGACGAATCAAATACTCCAATTGGGGTACTCCCTATCTGTCCCCCGCCCCAAGATGCATACCCACGGGTCAATCCTAAGTCCTCAACTTTGAAAGCCGGCCATCTTGAGATAACATCATCACTATTACCGGTGCTTGTGGAGTTGCCTCCATCATCCCATTGCTGTCCAAAGATGACTGCAGGTACTTCAGTAAAGACCACAGAGTATGTTGTGAACTGCATTCCTCCATCACTCGTCTTCCAGGTGTAAAAGTATATGTTCATTGGTCCCCAGTCCAGTCTACCGGTTGAGTTGCTTGTATTAACTAAAGTGAGTGTCTTGTCTGCTGTAGAGTACCATTTGTTATTTGCTCTGAACCATGCATCAGCATTATTGAACCAGAGCTTCCCGGACAGGTAGAGCTGGAATCCACCTTCGTTGTCTACTTTTACTTCAAAGTTTTCGACAGGCTCGCTCAGCCCGAGCTGGAAAAGGAGAGAGAAAAGGAGATATAGAGGTGGCTGCAGCTTCATTGCAAAGGTGTCAGCGTTAATGAGATTCATTGAAATGAGCCACGCCTAAGTAAGTGGGTTTGGTTTATAATTATAATAATAATAATAATAATAATAGCAGCCCACGTGCAACATCGTGGCTTGGATTGTTATTAGAGACTATGTAACCCAATATCTCTAATATAACCTCTAATATCTATGATTTGAGCATAGATAGATGTTCCATGCTTTGAGGTAAACTACCTAACTGCTGTATGAATTTTAAAACTCTGTAATATATTAATTTAGAAAAGTTTCAGAGCCTTCAGTGACCGAAGGTAGGGCACTCTGGACAAATAATGGACTTACTCAATTCACAAAAGATTTTTCATCCCAATTCTAAGAAGTACGATTAAGGATAAAAGGAAATATAAAATAGAGGATTACAGGTACATAACCATAAATATGTGTTTTCCCATCTCCCAGATCTGCCATTGCCCTATATTACTATTATCATATCTTCTAATCTTAAATCTCCTTTGTGTTAATTGATATAAATTGATGTGGCTATTATATCTGTGTATGACTTTGCTATTATTAAATTTAACAGAACTTAATAATTAATTTCCGGCACTATAATTGTCACTTTTAAAATTAATTAATTTCAAATTTATCTTCTCCACAGTACATTTGGTTTCCTTTGTCATTGTACACTGTAGCTTTGAAATAATACTGACCCTATAATCAATACAGAAATTTGCAAACTTAAAAAATGCTCTTTTAGTACCATAAACAGGTTTATTTTCATAGTAAAATATTTCAAATTATGTGTTTTTTTACTCAATTTGAAAAAATTTAAATCACAAATTTCTGCATCTTCATTGCCACGTGGCAGTTTGAAAGCTATTTGCAAAAATTTATTCTGCAAAATTTTAGAAATGTAGGATTTGCAAAAAAATTTGCACCACAAAATAAACCAGTATATGATAACAGACCTGCCAGAATAGCCTTGGTACAATATCAGTATGATTAATCTGGTACACTCCAGGCTGCAATGGACAGTAGTGGTGTATTATTTCAACACAGTAGTCACAGAAGTTTAATTTCATGTCAACGATTGTGATGTTAATGTGATTTTTATTGCTGTTAAATATAGTTTGTATCCGAATTACTGCCCATTCAATTTTTTTCTCTAAAAATATGTACAATAATATGTTTAAAGTTTTTGTCTGAATGTGAAAGAACATTTTTTGTATCAGACATTGCATTTATGGCCACTTACTTATCTTCAATTGTCCTTTGAAAGTAAATGGTTTCCCACGTTGTAATGTATAAGAGGGAGTTATTGTAATGTTATAGACTTCAAGAAATTTATGAGTGAGAGCTTTAATAAAGATATACTTTCCATTCTAGATCAATAGTGTATTACTGAACTTACAACAATCAGTGAATGATCCTTTATTATTAGTAGGTTCTTGTTGTTGATAGTATATATGATTCAAACAGGTATATTATCCATTAGTATAGTAGTCAGTATCTTACCATTGTAGTAATTGTTAGTAGATCCAGTCAATGTAGATACTACTAGTACAACTGATAGGATTAATAGTATGTTTATAGGAATAGTCATCTTCTTCTCCAGCTCCATCTTTGAACACTTGCTACGCATAGTAATAACTACTTTGTTTATATTGTTAGTAATTGCACATGTTTGAGGTAGCTTTCACTATCTCTTAAGTTTATATAACATTATTGATGTGTAAATTGCAGTTAGGTGCCTGTTTTTCTTAATTTCCATTCTAATCAAAGTTCTTTCCCCATAAGAGTGCTATTACTATCATTTTATGCAAACAAATTTCTTTACTTATCATTTTATGTTTAAAAAAATTATGTAAAACCTAACCTACCGTATAGTGGATAATTTTCGTGGCCCAAAATTTCCGTGGATTTCTCATTTTTTAAAATCCACGAAAATAAAATCTGCAAAAATTGATTCAATACAGTTTAAGATGGCCGAAAAGTAGAAAACCACAAAAATTAAAGCCACAAAATCGATTTTTGAACTGATCTGCAAAATTTTTGGGCCATGAAAATTTTCCACTATGCGGTATATACTCTTGGTATAATAGTAATTTTAAAACATAATATTGTATTATTATTGTTAAAATGTGTACTGTGTTTGTTTGAGGATATCAGTCACACTCATAATATTACAATGGAACTTAAAGAAAAGCATACTCAAGCTGTCCATTGGTTATTCTTCTTAACATGCTTGTTTGCTAATAGTCATGCTGCACAATGTATTGTAATACAATAAGGTTCACATTGATTCACTTTGATACAATCAGGACACAGTTTCTGCAAGTGTATACATGTATGTGTCAATAATAATTATGGTCATTATTCAATAGTGACTTGTTTCATTATACATAGTATCTGCTCTTCTTTCTCATTGTAAGCAGTTATTTTACCATAATACTGACCCTATGAAATAGAATAGTAATAATGATACATTGTACCTGTTACCAAGAGTACATTATAGCAGGTACTCTTGCTGTTACTCACTGGCCAAATAAGGCTTGGCAGTCTAATAGGAGTGTTGAAATGATATATTCCTGGCTGTATTGGACAATATTCCTTAACTAAGTCAACAAAGTAGTCACATAAATTGAATTTGTCATCCAAGAAAGTAATATTAGTGTAACCCCTGTAATTGTATGTCGCTGTGGCATGTAGTATACCCCAATGTATGGTTCTCTCTATAAATGGATTCATATTTATTTATAATTGCTATCACTCACTGATCTTTAGTAATCCTTGCCAATCGAATTTTACCCCACGTTTCAGTGGGTATGGAGTCACTGATGAATTGAGTTCAGCAAATTTCTTAGTAACAGCTTGAAATTAATAAAATAAATAGATATTGCATTACTGAACTTACAGCAATCTATGAATGATCCTTTATTATCAGTAGGTTTTTGTTGTTGTTAGTTTATATGATTCAAACAGGTATATTATCCATTAGTATAGTAGTCACTATCTTACCATTGTAGTAATTGTTAGTAGATCCAGTCAATGTAGATACTACTAGTACAACTGATAGGATCATCAATAGGACATTCATCTTCTTTCTTGTTTCTCTCTCTTGTAATATCATTTGCACATGCTCTGCCTTCTGCTATTTTCAATTAAAATAACATTTACTTTGAGTATACATATCTACAGTAGATATGTATACTCAAAGTAAATGTTATAGTACATGAAATCTCACTGTTTATTAATTAAGACTGTAGTATAGGTATAATAACTACCGTATAGCCAAAAATTTTCGAGGCTTAAAATTTCGTGAATAATGAAATTTATGGAGAAATTTTAAATTCCATGATAAATATTTTCGTGATTTTATTTTAATAATAATAATGACCACGCCTTATTTAATTAAAACATGGCAGATTCAATGTTTGAGACGGACTCTTGTGTCAAGGGGCACCATGTCTACAAATCAGTGTGGACACCAGTGATGGGGAAGATCATCATCTTTGACCTAGGCAGTATGCTTAAAATAGCAATACAGAGTAACAGAGACATTAGCTTGATGAGAACACGACTTGACACGAGGGCACATTTATTAGTAAGGCGTGGTTAACCATGCCTCTCAATTAATATTTATTTTCGGGGGTTTAATTTTTCGTGATGCAAACAGTGATCACGAAAATACGAAAATTTATTCCTCACAAAATTTTTTGGCTATACGGTATTAATTAATAATGTCAATGTTAAGCCATTCCACAAAATATTTTGTATCACAATGACTTTAATTTATTATTTGCCCTAGGAGTTTGAATTATGCTGATTGATTTAACTTATTTGAAATTTTCAAACTCTTGTTCTATTGACAATCATATTGATTATTAACATTTCTATTGTGATGTTTGCATGTTTATGATTATTAGTAATTTATGTGTTCACTGTCCTTGTTTAAACAATGGCAAATTCTTTCATTTGACATGTTAATTGCTCTCTTTTCTGATTCTAAGCAGTTGCTTTAACATAATACTGACCCTATGAAATAGAATAGTAATAATGATACACTGCATGTATCTGTTACTCAATGGCCATAAGATGTTTGGTAGTGTAGTACTAATATTGATATGATATATTCCAGGTGGTATTGGACAATGTTCCTTAATGGTATCATCTGAGAAGTCGCATAAATTAAATTTGTCATCCAAGAAAGTAATATTAGTGTAACCCCTGTAATTGAATACAGTATACCCCAATGTATGGTTCTCCCTACATGTTTATTTATAATTGTTTGTCAACTCACTGACCTTTATTAATCCTTGCCAACGGAATGCTATCCCACGTTTCAGTAGGTATGGAGTCACTGATAAATTGAGATCAGTGAATTTCTTAGTAACAACTTAAAATTAATAAAATATATGAATAGTGTGTTACTGAATTAACTTACAGCAATCTGTTAATGATCCATTATTATCAGTAGGTTCTTGTATATATAATTGAAACAGGTATATTATCCATTAGTATCTTACCATTGTAGTAATTGTTAGTAGATCCAGTCAATGTAGATACTACTAGTACAACTGATAGGATTAATAGTATGTTTACAGGAACAGTCATCTTCTTCTCCAGCTCTGTCTTTGAACACTTATTAGGTATAATAATAACTACTTAATTTATATTGTTTATAATTGCACATGTTTGAGTTAGCTTTCACTATCTCTTAAGTTTGTATAAATTGCAGTTTGATGCCTGTTTTTCTTAATTTCCATACTAATCAAGTTTTTTCCCCATAAGAATGCTATCATTATCAGTTTATGTGAACAAGTTTCTTTGCTTGTCTTATGTTAGAAAATTTATGTAAAGCCTAGACTCTAAATAGTACATACTCTTGGTAAAAATAATAAGCTTAAAACATAATGTGTATTATAATTTTGAAATGACTATACTGTGTTTGCATGAGGATATATCACAACACTCATCAGTCATGCTGATAAGTGCAATAATGGAACTTAAAGAAAAGCATACTCAAGCTGTTCATTAGTTATTCTTCTTAACATATTTATTTGCTAAAAGTAAAGCTGCATGAACATAGTATATTGTATAATACAACAATTAAGGTAATTCATTTTGATATAATGATCAGTGCAGTTTGTCAGTTACTGTATTTTGATGTAGTGTATGTATAGTGCATGTTTTAATAATGACATTTTTGTCATTCAATGGCCCCTTGTTTCATTATACACTTTATTTGCTCTCCTTTCTCATCATAAGCAGTAGCTTTACCATAATACTGACCCTATGAAATAGAATAGTAATAATGATACACTGCATGTATCTGTTACTCACTGGCCAAAGGAGTTTTGACATTGTAACAAGAGCATTGATGTGATATATTCCTGGATGTACTGGACATTGTTGCTTAATAATATCATCAAAGAAGTCGCATAAATTGTACTTCACATCAAAGAAAGTAATGTTAGTATAATTTCTGAAATTGTATTTCAGTGTGGCATGCAGTATACCCCAATGTATGGTTCTCTCTATAAATGGATTCATGTTTACTTATAATTGTTGTCAACTCACTGATCTTTAGTACTACTTGTAAATGAAATTTTCCCCCACGTTTCAGTGGAAATTTAGTCATTGAAACATTAGTGAGTTCAATAAATTTCGTGGTAACAGCTTAAAATTAATAAAATAAATGAATAGTGTATTACTGCATGAACTTACAACAATCTTCAATTTCAGTAGGTTTTTGTTGTTGATAGTATATATAATTCAAACAGGTATATTATCCATCCGTATAGTAGTCAGTATCTTACCATTGTAGTAATTGTTAGTAGATCCAGTCAATGTAGATAATACTAGTACAACTGATAGGATTAATAGTATGTTTACAGGAACAGTCATCTTCTTCTCCAGCTCTGTCTTTGAACACTTATTAGGTATAATAATAACTACTTAATTTATATTGTTAGTAATTGCACATGTTTGAGTTAGCTTTCACTGTCTCTTAAGTTTGTATAAATTGCAGTTTGATGCCTGTTTTTCTTAATTTCCATACTAATCAAGTTTTTTCCCCATAAGAATGCTATCATTATCAGTTTATGTGAACAAGTTTCTTTGCTTGTCCTATGTTAGAAAATTTATGTAAAGCCTAGACTCTAAATAGTACATACTCTTGGTAAAAATAATAAGCTTAAAACATAATGTGTATAATAATTTTGAAATGACTATACTATGTTTGCATGAGGATATATCACAACACTCATCAGTCATGCTGATAAGTGCAATAATGGAACTTAAAGAAAAGCATACTCAAGCTGTTCATTAGTTATTCTTCTGAACATATTTGTTTGCTAGAAGTAAAGCTGCATGAACATAATGTATTGTAATACAACAAGGTAATTAATTCACTTGGTGTAGTCAGTGCATTCTGTAGTGTATACATACATGCATGTGTTAATAATGAAAATTTTTTGTCATTCAATGACCCCTTGCTTCATTATACACTTTATTTGCTCTCCTTTCTCATTGTAAGCAGTAGCTTTACCATAATACTGACCCTATGAAATAGAATAGTAATAATGACACACTGTATCTGTTACTCACTGGCCAAAGGAGTTTTGACATTGTAGTGTGACTATTTATATGATATAGCCCTGGATGTATTGGACATTTGTGCTTAATAATATCATCAAAGTAGTCACATAAATTATACTTCACATCAAAGAAAGTAATATTAGTATAATTTCTGAAATTATATGTTGCTGTGGCATGCAGTATACCCCAATGTATGGTTCTCTCTATAAATGGATTTATGTTTAATTTATAATTGTTGTCAACTCACTGATATTTAGTATTGCTTGCAAATGGAATTTTCCCCCACGTTTCAGTGGAAATTTAGTCATTGAAAAATTAGTGAGTTCAATAAATTTCTTAGTAACAGCTTAAAATTAATAAAATATATCAATAGTGTATTACTGAACTTACAACAATCTGTGAATGATGCTTTATTATCAGTAGGTTCTTGTTGTTGATAGTATATATAATTGAAACAAGTATATTATCCATTAGTATAGTAGTCAGTATCTTACCATTGTAGTAATTGTTAGTAGATCCAGTCAATGTAGATACTACTAGTACAACTGATAGGATCATCAATAGGACACTCATCTTCTTTCTTATTAGTAAAACTTGAGCTGTTGGTGATGTGTGTCAAAGTAATAGTGCATGATATTGTTCAGCTCCAGTTATATTGTCTAGTGTTAGTGTGTAATGTTTTGCACATGCTTCACCTTCTGCTGCCTTTTAGTTAAAATAACAATTATAAGTGATCATGTGTCTTGTCTATATTTAGTGCAACTATCAATTATGCATCAATTAACATTTGAGTGTATGTTAAATTATTATTTTTAATTATAATAATAGTTATTCATTAATTATTTATTATTTTATTATTTATATTCATTATTATTGCATAATTAATTAATTATCAATTAACTACCTTAGGGCATAGATATTGCTTAGGGTGGGTATTAATTGCAACACTTAATTTTAGCGTTTTTAGCAAGTGTACTTCAAATCACTAATTCAACAAGTCGCTAATAATAGTTATTATGTACTTGTGTAAACAAGTACACAAGATAAGCAAGATCTGTAACAAGATAACAGTAAATAGGGTGGTCCTGTTAAGTGTTCTGCTCTTAAATGTATAGATTGGGCTTCTTGAGAAGTGTTATGCTAGTGAATGGGGGTTTTACCATTGATTTTCTTCCTATTTTCGCTAATATTACATTTCGCTAAATCAGAGTCCCCTTAAAAACGCTAAAATTTAAGAGCGCAATTAATACCTACCCTAAGGTAATTTGGTAGGACCTTAACTAGCGTTACACACTGGAACTGTTCACTGGTTATTATTCTTAACATACCGTACAAGATGATTTATTAGCTGGGAATTAATATTGGCAATTGATGGTTCCTGAAGAAATTGCCAGTATAAAATCTGCCATTTTGTTTAATCTGAGCATGCTCAATGTCACATGGCACAAAATTGCCAATATAAAATTTGCCAATTTCTTTCCACATGGAAACTCGCCCCACCAATAAATCATTTTGTACGGTACTTGTTTGCTAGTAGTAAAGTTGCATGTTTTCCTTCGGATACCACAACACTCATCAGTCACACTCATAAATGCAATAACGGAACTTAAAGAAAAGCATACTCAAGCTGTTCATTGATTATTCTTCTTAACATATTTGTTTGGAAATAGTAAAGCTGCATAAACATAATGTATTGTAATACGACAAGGTAATAATTCACTTGGTGTAATCAGAGTGCAGTTTGTAGTGTATACATACATGCATGTGTTAATAATGACATTTTTTGTCATTCAATGGCCGCTTGTTTCATTATACACATTATTTGTTCTCCTTTCTCATTGTAAGCAGTTGCTTTACCATAATACTGACCCTATGAAATAGAATAGTAATAATGATACACTGTATCTGTTACTCACTGGCCAAAGGAGTTTTGACATTGTAGTGTGACTATTTATATGATATATTTGTGGATGTACTGGGCATTGTTGCTTAATAATATCATCAAAGTAGTCACATAAATTATACTTTACATCAAAGAAAGTAATGTTAGTATAATTTCTGAAATTGTATTTCAGTGTGGCATGCAGTATACCCCAATGTATGGTTCTCTCTATAAATGGATTCATGTTTATTTGTAATTGTTGTCACTCACTGATCTTTAATACTGCTTGCAAATGGAATTTTCCCCCACGTTTCAGTGGAAATGGAATCATTGAAAAATTAGTGACTTCAATAAAATTTTTAGTAACAGCTTAAAATTAATAAAATAAGGTAATAGTCTATTATTGCATTAACTTACAGCAATCTTTAACTTCAGTAGGTTCTTATTGTTGATAGTATATATAATTCAAACAGGTATATTATCCATTAGTATAGTAGTCAGTATCTTACCATTGTAGTAATTGTTAGTAGATCCAGTCAATGTAGATACTACTAGTACAACTGATAGGATCATCAATAGGACACTCATCTTCTTTCTTATTAGTACAACCTTAGCTGTTGGTGATGTGTGTCAAAATAATAATGCATGATATTGCTCAGCTCCAGTTATATTGTCTAGTGTTACTGTGTGATGTTTGATTTGCACATGCTTTACCTTCTGTTGCAGTTAAAATAACACTTTGAGTATATCTTATAAGTGATCGTGTGTCTACTGCTTCAGTCTATATTTCATGCATCTTTCAATGAATTCTGTTATACTTCAATTATGCAAGATGCTACATACAGAGTACAATAATAGACTCTCAAAGTGATTTATGTTATTTTTCCTTAGGAGTTGAGAATTTTTATAAACCTAGGAGTTGGAATAATGCTGATTGCTTTAATTTATTTCAATTTCTCAAACTCTTGTTCTATTGACAATTATTAAAATTTCTATTGTGATGTTTACATGTTAATGATTATCGTTAATTAATGTGTTCACTGTCCTTGTTTAAACAATGGTAAAATCTCTTTTTTGACATAGTATTTGCTCTCCTTTCTCATTGTAAGCAGTTGCTTTACCATAATACTGACCCTATGAAATAGAATAGTAATAATGATACACTGTATCTGTTACTCACTGGCCAAAAGAGGCTTGATATTACAGCACCAGAATAAATTTGATATGTTCCTGGTTTTAGTGGACATTGCTCCTTAATTAGGTCATCAAAGTAGTCACATAAATTGAAGTTAGAATCCAAGAAAGTAATATTAGTATAATCCTTGAAGTTATGAGTCAGAGTGACATGCATTATACCCCAATGTATGGTTTCCTCTATATAAATGGATTCGTGTTTATTTTTGTAATTGTTATTACTCACTGATCTTTAGTACTGCTTGCCAACGGAATCTTTCCCCATGTTTCAGTGGAATTGGAGTCATTGATGCATTAGTAATTTCAGCAAATTTCTTGGTAACAGCTTAAAATTAATAAAATAAATTATTAGTGTATTACTAGCTTACCACAATCTTTAATGTCAGTAGGTTCTTGTTGTTGATAGTATATATAATTGAAACAGGTATATTATCCATTAGTATAGTAGTCAGTATCTTACCATTGTAGTAATTGTTAGTAGATCCAGTCAATGTAGATACTACTAGTACAACTGATAGGATCATCAATAGGACACTCATCTTCTTTCTTATTAGTAAAACTTGACCTGTTGGTGATGTGTATCAAAGTAATAGTGCATGATATTGTTCAGCTCCAGTTATATTGTCTAGTGTTAGTGTGTAATGTTTTGCATATGCTTCACCTTCTGCTGCCTTTTAGTTAAAATAACAGTTATAAGTGATCATGTGTCTATTGCTTATTGTCTATACTTAATGCAACTATCAATGAATTCTGTTATGCATCAATTAACATTACTACATGCTTTGGGTGCATGTTACAGTACTAGTATTAAATTACACAGTACAATAATGGCTAATAATAGACTCTCAAATGATTATGTCATTCTTCAACTTTTGCCTCTATCCACATGATTTTAGCAAATTTGCTCAAAAATCATATAAGTACAAGGTATTTTGTCAAAAATAAATTTGAGAAAATTTTCTATTTTTATATTTTTTAGAATGGTTCCAAACAAAATCAGATTTTTTTCAAATTTGCCAAAAAATGGGGCCAAAGACCATGGGCTGTATATAATACAAGTACATTGGGAAAATTTTGCCAAAAATGACTAAATGAGAATTCTCGATTTTTGTAATTTTTTATTATGGATATACATGTACTTATGCTGTGTAGAAACTTCAAGCTGATTCTGATGAAATTTGGATTTTTTACGAATTTTTAAAGTTACTCAAAAATTAGGCCAAAGACCTTAGGCTATAATGGTCTTTCGTATCATCAAAAATGGCTAGAAGAGAACTTTCAATACTTTTTAGCTCATTTACATGTAGCACGCTCTTTGCCTCTATCATTTGTTCCAGCAATGAGTCAAGTATTTTATTTTGACAGATCATGGAATAGTATTGTAAATAAATTAATTTAGAGGAAAGCTTTTCTTTTTTATCCATTTGTTTTTGTAATGTACATGTTCTTTGAGTAATAGTAATAATGATTGTGCCCATATCCTTGATCTTTATTCAATCAATAAAAAAATATGCCATTTCACACATCATTTGCTCTTTTTTCTCATTGTAAGCAGTTACTTTACCATAATACTGACCCTATGAAATAGAATAGTAATAATGATACACTGTATCTGTTACTACTCACCGGCCAAAAAAGGCTTGACATTTTAGTATGAGGATTGATGTGATATATTCCTGGATGTACTGGACATTTTTGCTTAATTATATCATCTAAGTAGTCGCATAAATTTAATTCCACATCAATGAAAGTAATATTGGTATAATTCTTGAAATTGTATTTCAGTGTGACATGCAGTATACCACCCCATTGTATGGTTCTCTCTATAAATGGATTCATGTTTATTTGTAATTGTTGTCACTCACTGATCTTTAGTACTGCTTGCAAATTCACTGCTTCTCCATGTTTCAATAGAGCTGGAGTTACTGATGCATTAGTGATTTCCGCAAATTTCTTAGTAACAGCTAAAGATTAATAAACGAAATTGATAGTGTATTACTGAACTTACAGCAATCTGTGTATGATCCATTATTACCAGTAGGTTCTTGTTGATGATAATAATTGAAACAGGTATATTATTCATTAGTATAGTAGTCAGTATCTTACCATTGTAGTAATTGTTAGTAGATCCAGTCAATGTAGATACTACTAGTACAACTGATAGGATCATCAATAGGACACTCATCTTCTTTCTTATTGATATTTTGCTGATACGTGTACATGAAAATGAAATTGATGGTGCAAATGTTCCCCTTACAGGTTACATGGTTTACTTAACACTGTGATATATGTCTTACACTTGGATAGAATAACATTATGCATTTATTATAATATACTGCAGATTGTTTACAAATTGTTGTTTTTTGTGACTGGACTCATGATATCTTTGGATGGCATAAATTTTTTAAAAAGCAAACACTTTCATGCTTTCATGCAGTGTTGTCAACAAGAAGATACAAGTATGCCATTTGACTCTGGGCTCTTTGTTAAAGTTAAGTAAATTCATATAGCATTGTATTGACTATGAGGTAGATCCTATTACTTTTGAGATGACACTGCCTCTCATTTTAATGACACTATTTTAAAGTATATAACTGTCTCAAAACTTGTCCATCTATTTTTATTTTTGTCTCTTTATGTTGTGTATATTACATGCATGTGTTAATAATAATTATGTTCATTATTCAACGGTGGCTTGTTTCATTATACACATTATCTGCTCTCCTTTCTCATTGTAAGCAGTTACTTTACCATAATACTGACCCTATGAAATAGAATAGTAATAATCATACACGGTATCTGTTACCCACTGGCCATAAGATGCTTGGCAGTCCAGAAGGAATGTTTATATGATATGTTCCTGGTTTTATTGGACAATATTCCTTAATAAAATCATATAAGAGGTCGCATAAATTGAATTTGTCATCCAAGAAAGTAATATTAGTGTAATCCCTGTAATTGTATGTCGCTGTGGCATGTAGTATGCTGTGGCATGTAGTATACCCCAATGTATGGTTCTCTCTACAAATGGATTCATGTTTATTTATAATTTTTGTCACTCACTGATCTTTAGTACTCCTTGCAAATAGAATATTTCCCCACGTTTCACTGGGTATGGAGTCACTGATAAGTTAAATTCAGTGAATTTCTTAGTAACAGCTTGAAATTAATAAAATAAATAAGTATGACATTACTGAACTTACAACAATCAGTGACTGATCCATTATTGGACTCGCGTAGGCGGGTACTACGCAGTTGGGTTGTCATTCTGTCATTCTGTCCACACAGTTTAATTGATTTGTAAAAAAATTATATTTTTGTCTGAGCAGTCTAGAGCTCTATTTCTTCTTGTAGCAACAGATAAAGTTGCTTTCTTTCATCTAGTTATACTCTTGTAGCATCCCGTGGCACCAAAAGCTGTGAACTGCTAAACCAGGGGACCTCTCTCCAGGTGAGAGCTCGTGTTTCACTCTACAGGGCCGAGATTTGCTTCAGAGGTAGAAAATTCCATCTAACGAAAAACAAAAAGAACGATTTTGTCCTAACTTCGTTGTTTGTGAGTTACAGTTGCTCAAAGTTTGTCAGTGATTTAGCCTCTTTGAGAATTTTTCAGGCAGCACTGGGGAAAGCAGGAGCAACCAAACTCTCTCAGTCTCTTTTAAATATCTAGAAAAATTTTCTGTGCCAACTCTTTCTTGGAATAGAGCTTCAGATGCTAAAATAAATTTCAGCTTTTCTTCTTTCTCCTACCCATGTGCCATGATTTAGTTAGTAGAGGTGGGCGATACGATACCAAAGTACTCATATATCCGATACCAGGCCTCCGATACCAAGTACTCGATACCAAATCCTGGTATCGAGTAGTGAGTAACCACGCCCCACCGCACCTATTTTATTACGTCATAATTATGGCCACACCCCTTAATAATTACAAAATGGCGGTTTATTTCTTTTCATTTTTATTAATAACTAGTTATAACTTAATTGCGCATGCGCAGTAGCTAACTACTCATTCACTACTCGATACCATCGATACTGAGACTCAGACTACTTGGTATCGGTATCGATTCAAAATTTCTGGTATCGCCCACCTCTATTAGTTAGTTGTTGACCACACCCATAGCTTATTTTAATTATCATTATAACTATGCAGTCAATAATAATATTTTTCAAATTGCTTAAAATATCACAGTACAAGTAATGCGTATCACTCAAGTGAATTCCAGCAGGCGAGTCCATTGCACCATAGTGCTTCATTATCAGTAGGTTCTTGTTGTTGATAGTATATATAATTCAAACAGGTATATTATCCATTAGTATAGTAGTCAGTATCTTACCATTGTAGTAATTGTTAGTAGATCCAGTCAATGTAGATACCACTAGTACAACTGAAAGGATCATCAATAGGACACTCATCTTCTTTCTTATTAGTAAAACTTGACCTGTTGGTGATGTGTGTCAAAATAATAGTGCATGATATTGTTCAGCTCCAGTTATATTGTCTAGTGTTAGTGTGTAATGTTTTGCACATGCTTCACCTTCTGCTGCCTTTTAGTTAAAATAACAGTTATAAGTGATCATGTGTCTATTGCTTATTGTCTATACTTAATGCAACTATCAATGAATTCTGTTATGCATCAATTAACATTAATACATGCTTTGAATGTATCTTAAATTATTATACAGTACTACTAGTATTAAATTACACAGTACAGTAATGACTAATAATAGACTCTCAAATGATTTATGTCATTCTTCAAGATTATCCTCTATCCACATGATATTAGCAAGTAAAGGGTACTTTGTCAGAAATGACTATGAAAAATTTTCTATTTTATGTTTTTTTAGATATTTTGAGGTGATTTCAAACAAAGTTGAGTTTTTTTTTCAAATTTGCTAAAAATTTTGCCAAAATTGACTAGGCAAGAATTTTTCATTTTAATAATTTTTTCTTATGCATAATACATGTATTTATGCTGTGTAGAAGTTTTGAGCTGGTTCCGATAAAAAATTGGATTTTTTTACAAATTTCTAAAGTTGCTCAAAAGTCAGGCCAAAGATCTTATATGTTCATATCCTTAGTCAGTCAATAAAGAAATCATTCATTTCACACATCATTTGCTCTTCTTTATCATTATAAGCAGTTACTTCACCATAATACTGACCCTATGAAATAGAATAGTAATAATGATACACTGTATCTGTTACTCACTGGCCAAAAAGTGTGTGGTAGTGTAGTACTGGCATTGAAAGGATACATTCCAGGAGGTAGTGGACAGTCTTCATTTAATATATCAATAATGTAGTCACATAAATTATATTTGACATCAACAAAAGTAACATTAGTATAATTCTTGAAGTTATGTGTCAATTTGATATGCACTATACCCCAATGTATGGTTCTCTCTATAAATGGATTCATGTTTATTTATAATTGTTGTCACTAACTGATCTTTAGTACTGCCTGCCAGTAGCCCTTTTCACCACGTTTTAATGGAGTTGGAGTTAATGATGCATTAGTGAGTTCCAGAAATTTCTTAGTAACAGCTTAAAAATAATAAAATAAATCAATAGTGTATTACTGAACTTACAGCAATCAGTGAATGATCCTTTATTACCAGTAGGTTCTTGTTGTTGATAGTATATATAATTCAAACAGGTATATTATCCATTAGTATAGTAGTCAGTATCTTACCATTGTAGTAATTGTTAGTAGATCCAGTCAATGTAGATACTACTAGTACAACTGATAGGATCATCAATAGGACACTCATCTTTTTTCTTATTAGTATTTTGCTGATAGGTGTACATGAAAATGAAAGTGATAGTTTGACTGTTCCGCTTACAAGTGACATGGTTTACTAAATAAACACTGTCATGTATGTCTTGGACTTAATTAGAATAACACACCATGCATTTATAGCAATAAACCGTAAACTGTTTATAAACTTATTGCATAGCATTTTTTATGACTAGACTCACCATATTTTTGAATGGCATAGCAACTTGTTTACTAGCATC